TCCATTCTTCTCAAATCACATCGACCCAGCTTCCATTTCCCTGGTAATGGATCTCAGCCCTTACCTCCAACCTCTGGTCACAGGAATACCTGTAGCCTAGTGTGAGGCCCCCTGCCTGAGCTCAGCACCCCATGAGGGATGCTCAGCAGAGCAGCAACCAAGACAGTGGAACTCCATCCATCTTCCTTCTGCTGCCAGGACCGAGGTGCGTTCCCTCCCCTCCATCTGCCTGAGTGTCTCGTATCAAAGGGGGACTTGGGGGCATGACACACCACTGAGTCATTGAAGTTGTTCTAAATATGGCTGTGAATAAATATGTCAAAAATACCTCTCAGAAGGGAAGACACGTAATTACAATTTTTATAAATTTCATTAGTAGCAAACCAGGCTCTTCAGTTCAGGATTCTACATAAAACCAGGACGGGTGAAGCATCACGCAATCGTGCGCCTCAGCCTAAACTGTGCATCAAATCTCCCCTGGAGAGGCTTCAGAAGAGCCGATGCTGGCAAGACATCCCCAGAGAGTCTGAAGTAGTAGATCTGGAATGTGGCCGTGGCCTGAGCATTATCTGAAAATGTTCTCTTATGGAAGCCGAGATGGCAGCTGTGAAAGCAGAACCCATTCTTACAGGAGGAACTAAAAAATCAAAAACTTGCAACTCCTCTCTACGAGGAAACCAGGCTTTCATCATGACCTGCTATGCTTGACAGATATCTTAGGCTGAGGAAAGGGACCACTTGCCCAAATTAACACTTGTTTGAAAACTGACCTTGTGCTTGCTCTGCTGCGTGTTCCTGGATCCAAAGTTTTACAGTTAAAACCTTGCTGTCGTTAGTGAAACTCAGTACGTTTTAGCTCTTGTCAAGATCCCTTGTGCCTAGTTAGCTGAATACATTTCTAAAACACTGTGGGGATAACTTCATGTGACAGATCAGAATAGTGCTTCGAAGATTAAAGATGGCTGAGAATTGTAGCTGTTGATGCTGATGTAGAAGGATCGGCTGTCAGCATATCTGCTGCCTGTGCTCAGTTGCAGTTTTAAACTTTTTCCTGTGTTATCAAATTAACTCCCATGCTCAGATGAAGACCAAACAGGAACAGGATTTTATTGGGAAAAATAAAGTTAAGCAATCCCTTGTTTGGTACACACCCATGAAGACCCACCTCCAGAAATGTTCTCCTTTAGGGATCTCTTCTGGATATTCTTTGGCACGTCCCCCGATGATGGGCTTACACTGCTGTGTCCCGACTCACTGTGCTGTTAAAGACAGCGCTTGCAAACTCTGAGGTATGTTACAGTGCCCGGGTTCTCTTGGAGATCCAAAAGAGGGTGACGGCCTGTGCTCGGGACATCTTCAGAGCGTGTCTGCAGGAACGGGGCCTCTCAGAGGAACGGATCCCCACCTGTGGCAACAGGAAGATCTCGGGTCAGCCTTTTGCAGAGCAGCTCCCGGGGAGTCTTGGCACAGTGAAGATCACACCCAGCAGCATGCCCGGGGATTGGGGGTTAAGAAATCGGGTGGATGGAAGCGCCCATCCATCAGACAGGGAACGTTGGCCTGGGGCTACTGGCAGGTCTGCAGGGTTTATGGGACATCTGAGTGCAGATGGTGCATATGTTTCAGCCTGTGGGTGATCTGGGGCCCAGTTGAGACGTCTTAGGTAGATTTGGTGATAGGAAAAGCCATCAGCCTACAGGGGGATACTGATGAAAACAAGTCAGATGGGTAAAAGCTCTGGGGGGTGACGTGGTCACCCAAGGATCATGTATAGAATGGAAGAGCACCGGACAGAGGCTGGAAACCAGAGGAAAACAAAACCAAGATTTAGGAGGGGATCAAAGTAAATGGACAGACAAGGAGACTTAGGAGTAATGGACTGAGACGTAGGGGGAAAGCCAGAGTGGGCTGATGTCAGACTCTGACCAAGGAAAAGTGTTTTTGAAAACGGAATGTGTCTGTGGCCAATAGAGCACTGGATACTATGGTTTGGCCCATCGAGCTCTTGGGAGACGTTAGCAAGGGGATGTTCTGTGGATGGGCACGTGGAGGAGGAATCGAGAGAAGTAAACAGATGAGAAGTATACTATCAAGGGTGAAACAGATCACCAGCCCAGATTGGATGCATGAGACAAGTGCTCAGGGCTGGTGCACTGGGAAGACCCAGAGGGATGGGATGGGGAGGGAGGCGGGAGGGGGGATTGGGATGGGGAACACATGTAAATCCATGGCTGATTCATGTCAATGTATGGCAAAAACCACTACAGTATTGTAAAGTAATTAGCCTCCAACTAATAAAAATAAATGAAAAAAAAAGAACACTCCTGGAGTGTACACTTTCAAGAAGCACGGCTTGAAAGGAATCAAAGAGGCAGGAGATTGGAAGTAGAGGGCTGTGTGCTTGCAGGGTATGCTATTTTCTGTTCCCCAAACCAAAAAGACCAGGATGCAAGTTCCAAAAATTCCTAAGAATCATCAGGACAGTTGACTAGAAGACAGAGTGGAGAACTGGAATGATCCTCACAGGTGAGTCTTCAAGTTGAGGAGGGGGGAGGGTGGTGGTTTCAGTGGAGTTCCACGAAGACTTCCTTCCTCTCCCTCTGAGTCCCACTCTGTCTCTGCGACCCATGGTCACAGGAAGAGCCGGGGTAGTGGTGGGGGTGGGGGTGGGGCGCAGGTTGCAGAGATCACAGTCTCAATGTATACTCCTCAGACTCCACGGGCACTTTGCTCTATTTGTTCTCCCTGGCTGATCTGATCTTCATCATGAGTGTTCACCCTTCATGCTGGTCAATAAGGGGAAAGCCCCCAATGAATTTACTTCTAACCTGGACAGTGTGGTTGCATGCAACCAACTGAATATCCACAGATACAAATGCTCAGTTTGTTCTGGTGAAACTGTTCTCCACTTCCTTCAGCGATGGAGCAGGGGTATGTGTCACTTACAAGGCTCTCGGTGATGTGGGAGGGGGAGTCTATAACATGGCACACCTTTGTTCCTCACAGTGGCCTCAGTGGTCCCTGAGGGAAAGATGACTCCCTCTCCTGGCTCCAGCTGGTGATGCTGACCTGCACCACCCACGGGTAGGGGTGGTGAAACTTGCATTTTTGTCTCCCTCCTCTTGCTGTGGACACGGTGCTCCCTGGCTGATTGAGCCTCAGCCACCCTGCTGGCATCTGCAGACCTCTCTGAATCTGGGTCTCATCGTCCAGCCCATCCCTGGGCAGGGATCTTTACTCCTCAGCCTCAGCCGCAAGGTCTCCCCTAGCCCATCGTCTGCTTAAGCTTCTTCTGGACTCAGTCCCTTTCCACATTTCTCCCTCAGGTGACGCAGATCCCTCCCTTGGATATCACCTGCACCACAGCAGGAACCATGATCAGCTCCAGAAAACTAAATTCCTAAACTGCTAACACGGTTCTGCCCAAAGACTCCTTTGCGTCATTGTACAGTGTGCCTCTGTGAGTCCCAAGTGTGAATGGGGTGGAATCCTCCCTTCCCTGGTGTTCCTCTTCATTTCTTGTCACACCTCCCTTGTCTGAGCTCTCTCACCTCTGCCTGCCACCGCCTCTGTGGGCCGTTCCCCCCTGTGACTGGGACGCTCCTTGCTTTGGCTTGTCTTTCATTTGACCAAGACTTCCCAGACAACATCCAGGTCAAAAGGGGCATACTGTAGAATGTGTACCTTGTCGAGTACAGTTAGGAGACTCGGGTGTCACATAAGCCCCACGCCCCTGAAATATAAAAACAGAGTGATAAAAAACACAAGAGTCAAATATGCCAGAGGTGCCTGAGATGTTGGCTAAGATGAGCACTGAAGAGTGTCTGTGGGATCAGGAAGTATGGATATTAATGATGGCCTTGACAAGACCAGTTACAGTGGAGTGACTGGGACAAAAGCTCCATGGAAGGGGGCTGAGGAGAGAATATCTCAGCAGAATTTGAAGCAGTTTTGCTTTGAAGGGCAACCGGTAATGTGCCAGTAGCTGCAGAATAGGGTGGTGGAAGATGATGGGTTCCCCCCTTTGCTGAGGAATGCTGCGATGTAGAGGGAGCAGGCGCTGGTTCAGGAGACAGGAGTGATGACTGTGGGTGCAAAGTCCCTGAGAAGGTGCAAGGCATGGGATCCCAGGCAGAAGTGAGGGGCTGGGTGCAGTCACGAGCAGGCTTGCAGAGGGGCAGCAGAGTGCTAGGGCAGAAACATGCAGATTGGGACTGAGAAACCAGAAATCCCACGGGATTGCTTCTGTATTCTCCACGAATTATTGGCGGGTGGGGATGGTGGCCATTAGCATGGAGGAAGGTTACTAGTGTGCGGTGTAGGAGTGTAGCTAGGTGACCGTGAAAATGAACAGCAGTCTACTCCGGCCATGGATTTAAGAGAAAACACTTCCGTAAAGTTTTCTCCTCGATGCTCAGGCGCTCAGACACAGGCAGGGAGTGAGTAGGCAGAAGGGTGCAAGCCGCACGAGAAGTGTGTTTGTAGGGCCTGGAGGATGGTGTGGCAGGATATGTGGTCGGTAAACTAGATCTCCAGCAGGTTGTGGTATCAATGCGCTGGCACTCGTGCGAGGGAGCTGGAGGACAGGACAGCATGCTGAGGGTGATGAGAGGGAGGAATGCTGGAAACAGGACACCATGAGGGGCGCGGTCTTTCCTGATGCCCGGAGCGGGACCGTGGGCAGAGGGATGCTCGGGTGGGGCGGAGGGGAACATCGCTAAGGACAGAGAGTCTCGGGTGAGCCTCGTGGGCACTGAGGACGGATCAGAAGAGTGAAGGCTTGAGAGGAGAAGAGTGAGTGTATCACGGGAGTAACGCGTTCACAGGCCGGGGTGGGCGGAGGAGAATGGACAGGGGACTTGTACCGGTCTCGCTCGTGGGGGGCTTCGGCATGAGCGACTGGACCCAGACGTCACCGGTCAGGTTCCTCAGTAGAGAGTTCAAACCGCGGTCCGGGAGAGATCCTCCAGCCAACCGGGGCCAGGAGACTGGCACGGGCCTCACCGGGCTCCTGCGCGCCGGCCCAGAACCAGCCAATCGGCGCGCAGCCCCGCCCACCAAGCTCCGGCTCTTCTCTGACGCCCCAACTTCCTGCCCGTGCTGCTCCGGTTCTGCGGGCCGCTTGAGGGGAGCCCGCGGGGCACGGGTGGTTTTGCCGAGCCTCTTCGAGAGGTTCCCTTCCTTTCTCTCAGGGTGTCCTCAGGGGCATCCTCCTTGACGTTCTCATCGGCGCTGTCCAATCCCCTGCGCGAAAACCCAGCAGAAACTAAGGATTTTCTTCCGGGCTTGCGCCGTTTTAGTTTCTGTGGCCTGCAGGTGGCAGTGTTGCTCCTCAGAGTCGCTCGGCAGCTTCTCCCCCGCCCTTCGCGTTTGAAAAAAACGACAGGAAGCTTTTTGCCACAAGAAGCGGCAGAGTTTTCCCTCCGCTTTCGTGTGTTGGCTGGTTCAAACTGCGTCTGAGCCCTTCAGAGGGCCTTTTGTGAAAACTTTGACCAAGCACATTGGCACTTAAAATTACAATGAAATAATATAAGCTGATGTATTGAATAATAGTGGACGGCGTGGTCACCCTTGTCTTGCTTCTGATCGTAGAGGAAGTCCTCCTGTATGTTTAAAAGAACTTTATTATGACAGTGAGTTTTGACTTGAAAATGTTTACGTGAAGGGGAAGTGAAAGTTGATCAGTTGTGTCCGATTCTTTCGGACCCCTTGGACTGTAGCCTGCCTGGTTCCTCTGGCCATGGGATTCTCCAGGTAAGAATATTGGAGTGGGTTGCCATTTCCTTCTCCAGACGACCTTCCCACCCCAGGGATTGAATCTGGGTATCCTGCATTTCAGGCTGACTGCTTACCATCTGAGCCACCTACAATAATAACACGACAGGGACAAGTGCCAAGCTAAGATCCTGCTGGGTAATTGATGCTGGACATCACCCAAGAAGCAGATGCTATTACTGCCCTCATTTTATGCATTTTGGACCTGTGGCACACAAAGGAAGAGTCAGCTGTCCAGGTTCTCAGGGCTCCTCAGAAAGTGTCCGTTCGTTCAGGTCTCAAGTCTGTCAGATTGTAGTTTCCACACTGCTTTGCAGGATACATTTCCCTCCCCAGTAGAAGAGTGAAATAAAATACACCCTGGGATTGAGGGTAAAACAGCCTCCAATGCTGTGAAAGATTGAAGGTAGGAGAAGGGGATGACAGTGGACAAAATGGTTGGATGGCCTCGGCATCACTGACTCAATGGACATGAGTTTGAGCAAGCTCCGGGAGATGGTGAAGGATAGGGAAGCCTGGCGTGCTGCAGTCCCTGGGGTCCCATAGAGTCCGACATGGCCCATCCGCTGAAAAACAACGTATTTATTACAATGAGATACTAAATGAAAGGGGAGCAGGGAGGGAAACCACATAGAAAACGACTCATCCACTCTATCAGGATTATGACATGATAACACATTTACAGTGAAAAGCACCTGGAAGTAATCAGCTGTTATGCAGTACAAGCTTTCTCAGCTCACTGCAAAGTCAGGGAGTTTAATCCAGAGTGGACTACCAAGAAGATGGCAGGCTAGTGACTCAAAACAACCATCTTGTTTGGGCCAAGTTGGACAGGACCCAGGTATCATGGACCAGGTCCCTCACTGGAGAGTTCCAAGCAGGGTCGGGGAGAAAACTTGCAGCGGACGCAGCCTGGGAGACTGGCACTGACCTCACTGACCTCACTGTTTTTCGGACGCGGCGGAAGGGGGGGCGGGGAGACCGAGATCCAGCCAATCGGATCCCAGCCTCACTCAGCAACACCGGATCTTCCTGGATGCCCTGACTTCTTCCCCGCCTGCTGTGGTTCTCTGCGCGGGTCAAGGGGAACTCGCGGTCCCGGGGTGGTTTGGCCGGGCCCCTTCGAGAGGTTCCCTTAGTTTCTCGGATCCTCACGGGCATCCCCCTGAAGTTTCGCATCTACGTTGTCCGGTCCTCTGCCGGAAAACCGAGCAGAAAGGATCGATTTTCTTCGGGGCTTGGGCATTTTGGTTTCTGCGACCTGCAGGTGGCAGTGTTGCTCCGCGGAGCTGCTCGTCCTGTTTCTCCCCCCGCCCTTCGCTCTTGAAAAAAGGTCTGGAAGCCTTTTGTTGTAATAAGCGCCGGATTTCTTTCTTCACTTGAGCCCTTTGCCTGATTCAAACTGCAGCTGAAAACTTCAGTGAGTCCTTCGTGAACACTTTGACCGAACCCGTTAACACTTAGAATTGCAATAAAATAATATATAAGCTGATATATTGAATAATAGTGGAGGGAGTGGGCACCCTTGCCTTGCTCCTGATCGTGGAGGAAAATGCTGTAGGTCGAAAGAAAGAGAACTGTATTTGTGACACTGAGTTTTGACTTGAAAATCTTTACCTGAAGTGGAAGTGTCTGATTATTTAAGACCCCTTGGACTGTAGCCTGCTAGGCTCCTCCGTCCAAGGGGATTCTCCAGGCAGGGATATTGGAGTGGGTTGCCATTTCCTTCTCCAGGAGATCTTCCAGACACAGGGAATGACTGGGGCTCATAGGGATGGCATCTAGTTCTCCAGTATTGCAGGCTGATTCTTTACTATTTGAGCCACTACGGAAGCCAATATGAAGGTAAAATATCTTGTGAAACTTTTAAAAATGTGTAGTAACATAGTTATTATAATAAAGTGCTAAATGAAAAGGGAATATTTCCTGCCCTGTTAGTAAGGAAGAATATCGCAGTCATCAGCGATTCCAGTCTCCAGTGTGAGTCTTAGGGCAGTCAGGAAGAATATCGGGGTCTAATCAGTTCAGTTCAGTTCAGTCACTCAGCAGTGTCCGACTCCTTGTGACCCCATGGATTGCAGCACAAGGGGCCTCCCTGTCCATCATCAGCTCCTGGAGCTTGCTCAAACTCATGTCCATCGAATCGGTGATGCCATCCAACCATCTCATCCTCTGTTGTCCATGTATAGTGTTAGTATACTGTATTGGTCTTTATCTTTCTGGCTTACTTCACTCTGTATAAGGCTCCAGTTTCATCCATCTCATTAGAACTGATTCAAATGAATTCTTTTTAATGGCTGAGTAATATTCCATTGTGTATATGTGTGACTATTTTTTTAAGTAGACACTTAGTAGTGATAGACAATGGGACCAGAACAGATTCCTCTCCTCAGTCTGAAATCTAGGAGGATCTGGAGTCTTCCTATAATACCAGCAGAGATCCCTTGTGCCCCTTAGCCTCCTAGGGGTATGCAGACGAATATGAGTGAGGCTTGTTTGATTCTCAGATCTGTATTGGTTGATGATCCTTGCTTTTATTCAGTGAAGGACAAGGTAATCCTTGAAACTTGATTTCTGGAAGAGGTATCTGGCTTGCTCTATTTAGATACTGGGCAGAATATCCTCAGTGTTAATGAAATAACAAGTGCTACTGAGGATGTGGAAAAATTGAAACACTTATATATATATATATATGAAATGTCACTACCACTTCCAAAAATAATTTGGGAGTTCTTTAAAATATAAGACGAAGTTACCATATGACGCAACATTTCCACTGCTAGATATATACCCAAAAGAAATATTAATAAAAATATATTCAACAGCATTTCAAAAAACCCTGAGAGAACCATTCCATTTCTCAGTTCTGATCCCCTACCTAAACGGGAAATATAATAGAACTATCTAAGGATAGGTGCTGTATTTTTTGCTTTGTTTTTCCTCACCCTTGTATTTGCAGTAAGTATCAACCAAAAACACACCAGCAGTCTGTTTTCTTTTTCTTTTTTTTGTTTTCAGTTTGTTTTCAATATACATCTCTGGACCAAATGAAAAAGTTCCTGATTTATGGTTTACTTTATAAATGTATTGTGTCATAATACTGATATAGTGGATGAATCATTTTCTATGTGGCACCTCCCCCTTTTCATTTAGCACTTTATTATAATAACTATGTTACTACACATTTTTAAAAGTTTCACAAGATATTTTACCTTCATATTGGCTTCCGTAGTGGCTCAAATAGTAAAGAATCAGCCTGCAATACTGGAGAACTAGATGCCATCCCTATGAGCCCCAGTCATTCCCTGTGTCTGGAAGATCTCCTGGAGAAGGAAATGGCAACCCACTCCAATATCCCTGCCTGGAGAATCCCCTTGGACGGAGGAGCCTAGCAGGCTACAGTCCAAGGGGTCTTAAATAATCAGACACTTCCACTTCAGGTAAAGATTTTCAAGTCAAAACTCAGTGTCACAAATACAGTTCTCTTTCTTTCGACCTACAGCATTTTCCTCCACGATCAGGAGCAAGGCAAGGGTGCCCACTCCCTCCACTATTATTCAATATATCAGCTTATATATTATTTTATTGCAATTCTAAGTGTTAACGGGTTCGGTCAAAGTGTTCACGAAGGACTCACTGAAGTTTTCAGCTGCAGTTTGAATCAGGCAAAGGGCTCAAGTGAAGAAAGAAATCCGGCGCTTATTACAACAAAAGGCTTCCAGACCTTTTTTCAAGAGCGAAGGGCGGGGGGAGAAACAGGACGAGCAGCTCCGCGGAGCAACACTGCCACCTGCAGGTCGCAGAAACCAAAATGCCCAAGCCCCGAAGAAAATCGATCCTTTCTGCTCGGTTTTCCGGCAGAGGACCGGACAACGTAGATGCGAAACTTCAGGGGGATGCCCGTGAGGATCCGAGAAACTAAGGGAACCTCTCGAAGGGGCCCGGCCAAACCACCCCGGGACCGCGAGTTCCCCTTGACCCGCGCAGAGAACCACAGCAGGCGGGGAAGAAGTCAGGGCATCCAGGAAGATCCGGTGTTGCTGAGTGAGGCTGGGATCCGATTGGCTGGATCTCGGTCTCCCCGCCCCCCCTTCCGCCGCGTCCGAAAAACAGTGAGGTCAGTGAGGTCAGTGCCAGTCTCCCAGGCTGCGTCCGCTGCAAGTTTTCTCCCCGACCCTGCTTGGAACTCTCCAGTGAGGGACCTGGTCCATGATACCTGGGTCCTGTCCAACTTGGCCCAAACAAGATGGTTGTTTTGAGTCACTAGCCTGCCATCTTCTTGGTAGTCCACTCTGGATTAAACTCCCTGACTTTGCAGTGAGCTGAGAAAGCTTGTACTGCATAACAGCTGATTACTTCCAGGTGCTTTTCACTGTAAATGTGTTATCATGTCATAATCCTGATAGAGTGGATGAGTCGTTTTCTATGTGGTTTCCCTCCCTGCTCCCCTTTCATTTAGTATCTCATTGTAATAAATACGTTGTTTTTCAGCGGATGGGCCATGTCGGACTCTATGGGACCCCAGGGACTGCAGCACGCCAGGCTTCCCTATCCTTCACCATCTCCCGGAGCTTGCTCAAACTCATGTCCATTGAGTCAGTGATGCCGAGGCCATCCAACCATTTTGTCCACTGTCATCCCCTTCTCCTACCTTCAATCTTTCACAGCATTGGAGGCTGTTTTACCCTCAATCCCAGGGTGTATTTTATTTCACTCTTCTACTGGGGAGGGAAATGTATCCTGCAAAGCAGTGTGGAAACTACAATCTGACAGACTTGAGACCTGAACGAACGGACACTTTCTGAGGAGCCCTGAGAACCTGGACAGCTGACTCTTCCTTTGTGTGCCACAGGTCCAAAATGCATAAAATGAGGGCAGTAATAGCATCTGCTTCTTGGGTGATGTCCAGCATCAATTACCCAGCAGGATCTTAGCTTGGCACTTGTCCCTGTCGTGTTATTATTGTAGGTGGCTCAGATGGTAAGCAGTCAGCCTGAAATGCAGGATACCCAGATTCAATCCCTGGGGTGGGAAGGTCGTCTGGAGAAGGAAATGGCAACCCACTCCAATATTCTTACCTGGAGAATCCCATGGCCAGAGGAACCAGGCAGGCTACAGTCCAAGGGGTCCGAAAGAATCGGACACAACTGATCAACTTTCACTTCCCCTTCACGTAAACATTTTCAAGTCAAAACTCACTGTCATAATAAAGTTCTTTTAAACATACAGGAGGACTTCCTCTACGATCAGAAGCAAGACAAGGGTGACCACGCCGTCCACTATTATTCAATACATCAGCTTATATTATTTCATTGTAATTTTAAGTGCCAATGTGCTTGGTCAAAGTTTTCACAAAAGGCCCTCTGAAGGGCTCAGACGCAGTTTGAACCAGCCAACACACGAAAGCGGAGGGAAAACTCTGCCGCTTCTTGTGGCAAAAAGCTTCCTGTCGTTTTTTTCAAACGCGAAGGGCGGGGGAGAAGCTGCCGAGCGACTCTGAGGAGCAACACTGCCACCTGCAGGCCACAGAAACTAAAACGGCGCAAGCCCGGAAGAAAATCCTTAGTTTCTGCTGGGTTTTCGCGCAGGGGATTGGACAGCGCCGATGAGAACGTCAAGGAGGATGCCCCTGAGGACACCCTGAGAGAAAGGAAGGGAACCTCTCGAAGAGGCTCGGCAAAACCACCCGTGCCCCGCGGGCTCCCCTCAAGCGGCCCGCAGAACCGGAGCAGCACGGGCAGGAAGTTGGGGCGTCAGAGAAGAGCCGGAGCTTGGTGGGCGGGGCTGCGCGCCGATTGGCTGGTTCTGGGCCGGCGCGCAGGAGCCCGGTGAGGCCCGTGCCAGTCTCCTGGCCCCGGTTGGCTGGAGGATCTCTCCCGGACCGCGGTTTGAACTCTCTACTGAGGAACCTGACCGGTGACGTCTGGGTCCAGTCGCTCATGCCGAAGCCCCCCACGAGCGAGACCGGTACAAGTCCCCTGTCCATTCTCCTCCGCCCACCCCGGCCTGTGAACGCGTTACTCCCGTGATACACTCACTCTTCTCCTCTCAAGCCTTCACTCTTCTGATCCGTCCTCAGTGCCCACGAGGCTCACCCGAGACTCTCTGTCCTTAGCGATGTTCCCCTCCGCCCCACCCGAGCATCCCTCTGCCCACGGTCCCGCTCCGGGCATCAGGAAAGACCGCGCCCCTCATGGTGTCCTGTTTCCAGCATTCCTCCCTCTCATCACCCTCAGCATGCTGTCCTGTCCTCCAGCTCCCTCGCACGAGTGCCAGCGCATTGATACCACAACCTGCTGGAGATCTAGTTTACCGACCACATATCCTGCCACACCATCCTCCAGGCCCTACAAACACACTTCTCGTGCGGCTTGCACCCTTCTGCCTACTCACTCCCTGCCTGTGTCTGAGCGCCTGAGCATCGAGGAGAAAACTTTACGGAAGTGTTTTCTCTTAAATCCATGGCCGGAGTAGACTGCTGTTCATTTTCACGGTCACCTAGCTACACTCCTACACCGCACACTAGTAACCTTCCTCCATGCTAATGGCCACCATCCCCACCCGCCAATAATTCGTGGAGAATACAGAAGCAATCCCGTGGGATTTCTGGTTTCTCAGTCCCAATCTGCATGTTTCTGCCCTAGCACTCTGCTGCCCCTCTGCAAGCCTGCTCGTGACTGCACCCAGCCCCTCACTTCTGCCTGGGATCCCATGCCTTGCACCTTCTCAGGGACTTTGCACCCACAGTCATCACTCCTGTCTCCTGAACCAGCGCCTGCTCCCTCTACATCGCAGCATTCCTCAGCAAAGGGGGGAACCCATCATCTTCCACCACCCTATTCTGCAGCTACTGGCACATTACCGGTTGCCCTTCAAAGCAAAACTGCTTCAAATTCTGCTGAGATATTCTCTCCTCAGCCCCCTTCCATGGAGCTTTTGTCCCAGTCACTCCACTGTAACTGGTCTTGTCAAGGCCATCATTAATATCCATACTTCCTGATCCCACAGACACTCTTCAGTGCTCATCTTAGCCAACATCTCAGGCACCTCTGGCATATTTGACTCTTGTGTTTTTTATCACTCTGTTTTTATATTTCAGGGGCGTGGGGCTTATGTGACACCCGAGTCTCCTAACTGTACTCGACAAGGTACACATTCTACAGTATGCCCCTTTTGACCTGGATGTTGTCTGGGAAGTCTTGGTCAAATGAAAGACAAGCCAAAGCAAGGAGCGTCCCAGTCACAGGGGGGAACGGCCCACAGAGGCGGTGGCAGGCAGAGGTGAGAGAGCTCAGACAAGGGAGGTGTGACAAGAAATGAAGAGGAACACCAGGGAAGGGAGGATTCCACCCCATTCACACTTGGGACTCACAGAGGCACACTGTACAATGACGCAAAGGAGTCTTTGGGCAGAACCGTGTTAGCAGTTTAGGAATTTAGTTTTCTGGAGCTGATCATGGTTCCTGCTGTGGTGCAGGTGATATCCAAGGGAGGGATCTGCGTCACCTGAGGGAGAAATGTGGAAAGGGACTGAGTCCAGAAGAAGCTTAAGCAGACGATGGGCTAGGGGAGACCTTGCGGCTGAGGCTGAGGAGTAAAGATCCCTGCCCAGGGATGGGCTGGACGATGAGACCCAGATTCAGAGAGGTCTGCAGATGCCAGCAGGGTGGCTGAGGCTCAATCAGCCAGGGAGCACCGTGTCCACAGCAAGAGGAGGGAGACAAAAATGCAAGTTTCACCACCCCTACCCGTGGGTGGTGCAGGTCAGCATCACCAGCTGGAGCCAGGAGAGGGAGTCATCTTTCCCTCAGGGACCACTGAGGCCACTGTGAGGAACAAAGGTGTGCCATGTTATAGACTCCCCCTCCCACATCACCGAGAGCCTTGTAAGTGACACATACCCCTGCTCCATCGCTGAAGGAAGTGGAGAACAGTTTCACCAGAACAAACTGAGCATTTGTATCTGTGGATATTCAGTTGGTTGCATGCAACCACACTGTCCAGGTTAGAAGTAAATTCATTGGGGGCTTTCCCCTTATTGACCAGCATGAAGGGTGAACACTCATGATGAAGATCAGATCAGCCAGGGAGAACAAATAGAGCAAAGTGCCCGTGGAGTCTGAGGAGTATACATTGAGACTGTGATCTCTGCAACCTGCGCCCCACCCCCACCCCCACCACTACCCCGGCTCTTCCTGTGACCATGGGTCGCAGAGACAGAGTGGGACTCAGAGGGAGAGGAAGGAAGTCTTCGTGGAACTCCACTGAAACCACCACCCTCCCCCCTCCTCAACTTGAAGACTCACCTGTGAGGATCATTCCAGTTCTCCACTCTGTCTTCTAGTCAACTGTCCTGATGATTCTTAGGAATTTTTGGAACTTGCATCCTGGTCTTTTTGGTTTGGGGAACAGAAAATAGCATACCCTGCAAGCACACAGCCCTCTACTTCCAATCTCCTGCCTCTTTGATTCCTTTCAAGCCGTGCTTCTTGAAAGTGTACACTCCAGGAGTGTTCTTTTTTTTTCATTTATTTTTATTAGTTGGAGGCTAATTACTTTACAATACTGTAGTGGTTTTTGCCATACATTGACATGAATCAGCCATGGATTTACATGTGTTCCCCATCCCAATCCCCCCTCCCGCCTCCCTCCCCATCCCATCCCTCTGGGTCTTCCCAGTGCACCAGCCCTGAGCACTTGTCTCATGCATCCAATCTGGGCTGGTGATCTGTTTCACCCTTGATAGTATACTTCTCATCTGTTTACTTCTCTCGATTCCTCCTCCACGTGCCCATCCACAGAACATCCCCTTGCTAACGTCTCCCAAGAGCTCGATGGGCCAAACCATAGTATCCAGTGCTCTATTGGCCACAGACACATTCCGTTTTCAAAAACACTTTTCCTTGGTCAGAGTCTGACATCAGCCCACTCTGGCTTTCCCCCTACGTCTCAGTCCATTACTCCTAAGTCTCCTTGTCTGTCCATTTACTTTGATCCCCTCCTAAATCTTGGTTTTGTTTTCCTCTGGTTTCCAGCCTCTGTCCGGTGCTCTTCCATTCTATACATGATCCTTGGGTGACCACGTCACCCCCCAGAGCTTTTACCCATCTGACTTGTTTTCATCAGTATCCCCCTGTAGGCTGATGGCTTTTCCTATCACCAAATCTACCTAAGACGTCTCAACTGGGCCCCAGATCACCCACAGGCTGAAACATATGCACCATCTGCACTCAGATGTCCCATAAACCCTGCAGACCTGCCAGTAGCCCCAGGCCAACGTTCCCTGTCTGATGGATGGGCGCTTCCATCCACCCGATTTCTTAACCCCCAATCCCCGGGCATGCTGCTGGGTGTGATCTTCACTGTGCCAAGACTCCCCGGGAGCTGCTCTGCAAAAGGCTGACCCGAGATCTTCCTGTTGCCACAGGTGGGGATCCGTTCCTCTGAGAGGCCCCGTTCCTGCAGACACGCTCTGAAGATGTCCCGAGCACAGGCCGTCACCCTCTTTTGGATCTCCAAGAGAACCCGGGCACTGTAACATACCTCAGAGTTTGCAAGCGCTGTCTTTAACAGCACAGTGAGTCGGGACACAGCAGTGTAAGCCCATCATCGGGGGACGTGCCAAAGAATATCCAGAAGAGATCCCTAAAGGAGAACATTTCTGGAGGTGGGTCTTCATGGGTGTGTACCAAACAAGGGATTGCTTAACTTTATTTTTCCCAATAAAATCCTGTTCCTGTTTGGTCTTCATCTGAGCATGGGAGTTAATTTGATAACACAGGAAAAAGTTTAAAACTGCAACTGAGCACAGGCAGCAGATATGCTGACAGCCGATCCTTCTACATCAGCATCAACAGCTACAATTCTCAGCCATCTTTAATCTTCGAAGCACTATTCTGATCTGTCACATGAAGTTATCCCCACAGTGTTTTAGAAATGTATTCAGCTAACTAGGCACAAGGGATCTTGACAAGAGCTAAAACGTACTGAGTTTCACTAACGACAGCAAGGTTTTAACTGTAAAACTTTGGATCCAGGAACACGCAGCAGAGCAAGCACAAGGTCAGTTTTCAAACAAGTGTTAATTTGGGCAAGTGGTCCCTTTCCTCAGCCTAAGATATCTGTCAAGCATAGCAGGTCATGATGAAAGCCTGGTTTCCTCGTAGAGAGGAGTTGCAAGTTTTTGATTTTTTAGTTCCTCCTGTAAGAATGGGTTCTGCTTTCACAGCTGCCATCTCGGCTTCCATAAGAGAACATTTTCAGATAATGCTCAGGCCACGGCCACATTCCAGATCTACTACTTCAGACTCTCTGGGGATGTCTTGCCAGCATCGGCTCTTCTGAAGCCTCTCCAGGGGAGATTTGATGCACAGTTTAGGCTGAGGCGCACGATTGCGTGATGCTTCACCCGTCCTGGTTTTATGTAGAATCCTGAACTGAAGAGCCTGGTTTGCTACTAATGAAATTTATAAAAATTGTAATTACGTGTCTTCCCTTCTGAGAGGTATTTTTGACATATTTATTCACAGCCATATTTAGAACAACTTCAATGACTCAGTGGTGTGTCATGCCCCCAAGTCCCCCTTTGATACGAGACACTCAGGCAGATGGAGGGGAGGGAACGCACCTCGGTCCTGGCAGCAGAAGGAAGATGGATGGAGTTCCACTGTCTTGGTTGCTGCTCTGCTGAGCATCCCTCATGGGGTGCTGAGCTCAGGCAGGGGGCCTCACACTAGGCTACAGGTATTCCTGTGACCAGAGGTTGGAGGTAAGGGCTGAGATCCATTACCAGGGAAATGGAAGCTGGGTCGATGTGATTTGAGAAGAATGGAAAAACAGCTAAGGTAGAATTTCAGATGCAGGGTGGGTCCTGGGAGCCTGTCCAGAGCCATTGACTTGTGGTCACACAATGGGCACCTGTGCCTAAACACAGAGACACACTAGTCGTGTGTGCTCACTGGGGATTCTGTCCTGACGTGCACAGTGACTGTCTCTGGAGGGAGCATCTAGCGCATGTGGAGGAGGCCGGACCCAGAACGTGGAAGGAGCAGGGGCACTCCTCGTTGTTGCAAAAGCAATGGCACATCTTTTCCCACATGTCTCGCCTGGGCATCTGCATTACCTTCCTAAACTGTTTTACTGAGGTATAATTACATACCACAAGTCACACCCATTCGATGCATCCAGTGCAGTGTCTTTTAGGAACTTCACACAGTGGTGCAACCACCACCGCCACAGTGCAGTCGTGGAACACTGCCAGCGCCACAAAAAGGGTCCGTGTACCCATCAGCAGTCAATCCCCAATAGGACCTGCAGGCCCAGGCATCCTCTCATCTAATTTGTCTCTGTAGATGTGCCCTTTCTGGGTATTTCATATAAACAGACTCCTGCGGGAAGTGGCCTCTTGTGTCTGGGTTCTTTCACTTAGCATAATGCTTAGGAGGCTCACCCATGTGGCAGCAGAAAGCAGAAGCTCATCACTTTTCATCCATCTATGTTCTTCCACTGTATGGGTAGAGAATACTTTGTTTACCACTCTCCAGCTGACAGACTTTTAGGCTGCTTCACTACTTGGAGATTACAAACAGTGCTGCTGCGTGAAAGACATGTAAGGACAAGTATTTGTGTGGACCTAGGTTTCATTTCTAATTTCTCCACGATTTCATTTCTTGTTTTGCACGGTGCACAGGCTAGACCCTTCCATCAGTGTGGAATAGAGGTGGTTGAAGCAAACCTCCTGCCCTTGGTCTGGATCTCAAGAGGAAAGCACTGACTCAAACACTACTAGATGTGATGTGACGAGAGCTGGATATTTCTCACAGATGTTGTTCAGCACAATGACGGCGATTCCTCCTATCCTCAATTGGCTGACTGTGATCATTGATTTAGTTATTTACTTAATTATCATGAATGGGTCTTGAATTGTGTCAAATTCCTTTTCTTTGTCTGTCAAGATGACAGGTTTCCTCTGCCCTTCATTATACACTGTTTCCAGTAACTGAAGTTGTGTTAGTCCGATACTGTAATCCTGGGATAAATCTTGCACAGCCCTTTGCAAATCCTGGGACAAATCGTGCACAGCCCTTGCAAATGTTTCTTGATTTGGTTTGCTGATACTGTGTTGAGGGTGTGTGCATTGGTATTCATGAGAGATATGGGTCTGTAGCTTTCTGGTGATGTCAAGTCTGGCTTTGGTAGTGGGGTGATATTGTTCTTATAGGATGAATTAGGAAATGTTCCCTCCTTACTCCTGTCTTTCTGGAAGAATCTGTGAAGGCTGGGTGTTATGTCTTCTTAAACATTTGATAGTTTTCACTAACGAAGCCAGGAGGCCCAGGACTTCCCTTTGTGGGAAGGTATTTAAATGAATGGTTCAATATCATGGCTTGCTACGGGTACATTCAGATTTGTTATTTGGCCACTGCATTTTAGCCAACTCCCATCCAGTAGTTTCTGGCCTGTTGTTTCCAATGGCCCAGTCTGTGGGCTAGAATTTGATGTGCTGGACAGCTCTGCACATCACAGGATTCTGGCTCCTACTCTGTTACTGGGGAGAGTATTCTGTCTCAGAAGTGACCCCCAGATCAGCAACACCCAATAGGCAGGTTGGGGATACAGACCTTGAGGTGGGGAAGGGGTGGCACTGCTGATACCCTCATTTACACCGCCCATCCATCCTCCAGGTGCCCTCATGCAGGCTGTTGTTAATTCTGCAGTTGGGACTGGCACATCAAGTACCCAGAGTACCCTGTCCCCTCCCCCATCCTTGTCACTCCTCTCGTCTCCTAGTAACGCAGCCTAACAGGGGATCCGTGACGCACTCGCCACCACATCTAAGGGTGTCAGATCTCCTCTCTGCTTAATGACTCAACTCTCAAGGGCAGGGACTAGCCCGGCAATTTCTTCTCACCTCCCCATCTCCACAACCAGCTCGGCATGGCACGTGGGGGGATGTAACACATACAGTGAAAACCTTCATGATTAGCTATTTGAGGGACTGTGGTTGGCGGGATTGACCTGGGTTGGCTGCTGGAGTGAGCCAACCGCATCCCATCCTGGGGAATTTGTGCCAGGTGGGGATGACTATCCTTGCCCCAGTGCATTGTGGGTTGCATCAATGACGTGTCTTATCCAGACTTGGTGTGCCACCAGACAATGAAGTCACCAGGTCCTTTCTCTTCACCCCAGCCTTTGCAGAGGATACAGTTGGGGATGCTCTGTCAGAAATAAACCTGCTCTGATATGGCCTATTACTCTATGACAAAGGAGCCAAGAACATACATTAGGCAAAATGCTGTCTCTTCAATAAATGGTTATGGGAAAACTGGACCCCTTTCTTATACGACATTCAAAAATAAACAACAACAACAAAAGATTAAAGATGAAATTGTTAAACCTTAAGCCATAAAACTCCTAGAAGACGACATAGCCTGTATGCTCTTTGACATAGGTCTTAGCAATAGTTTTTTTGACATGTCTCCTCAGGCAAGAGCAACAAAAGCAAAAATAAACAAATGAGAGTTCATCAAACTAAAAAGCTTTTACGCAGCAAGAAAAATCATCAACAAAACAAAAGGGCAACCTGCTGAGCGGGAGAGGTTATAAGCAATCGATATGTATTCGAAAAGAGGTAGCTATACAAAATAGCTAAAGGACTCATAGAATGTACTATGGAAACATACCCTAAACCCGACTTAAAAATGGGGCTAAGCACTGAATAGACATTTCTCCAAAGAAGAGATACAGATGGCCAACAGCCATATGAAAACATGCTCAACATCTCATCGTCAGGGATAAGAAAATCAAGAGCACAGTGAAGTACTTCCTCACACCTGTCAAGTAGCCATTGTCAAAAAGAAAACAAGTAATAAATGTTGGTGAGAATGTAGAGAAAAGGAAACCCTCGTGCCGTGCTGGTGGGAATGTACACTGGTGCAGCCACTATGGGGAAAATGAGCATTTCCTCAAAAACTGAAAACTAGAACTATGATATGATCCAGCAATTCCACTTCTTGGTGTTTTCCTGAAAAATAGAAGAAACATTAGTCACAAAAGATATATGTGCTCCTCTGTTCACTGCAGCATTATTTACAATAGCCAACATATGGAAGGAACCTCAGTGCCCATGGATAGGTGAATCAAAAAGGAAGAAATGGTATACACACACACACACACACACACACACACACACACACAATGGAATATTATTCAGCAATAAAATGAATGAAATCTTGTCATTGTCGATAACCTGGATGGACCTAGAGGGTATGATGCCAAGTGAAGCTAGGCACACAGAGAAAGACAAATACCACACAGTTTTGTTTATATGTGGTATGTCAGAAATAAAATGAGAGAACACAGGAAGCAAAACAGAAATAGAGTCAGAGGCACAGAGAACAAACTGTTCATTACCAGAGGAGGAAGGAGTAGGGAGATGTGTAAAATAGGGAAGGGATTAAGAGATACAAACTTCCAGTTATAAAATAAGTCACAGGAATAGAATACACATACAGGGAATATAGTCAATAATCTCGTAATAAATCTCTATGTCGACAGATGGTAACCAAACTTATCGTAGCAATTCATTGCATAAAATTTACCAATATGGAATCACTTTGTTGTGCACTTGAAAGGAATTTAATATCATATGTCAACTTTGGGCTTCCCCAGTGGCTCAGTAGTAAAGAATCCTCCCAGAATGCTGAAGCTGCAGGAGGCGTGGGTTCGATTCCTGGGTCGGGAAGATCCCCTGGAGGAGAGCATGGCAACCCAGTCCAGTCTTCTTGCCTGGAAAATCCCATGGACAGAGGAGCCTGGGAGGCTACAGTCATGTGGTCGCAAAGAGTTGGACATGTCTGAAGTGACTTAGCATGCAAGCATGCATGGCAACTTTACTGAAGAAATAAAGAGTGTGGGCTCTGAATGGAGGATGCCGAGGTTTGTGGGTCATGTTTCCTCTGACGGCCTATATGACTCGGAGCAATCCCCCTAACTTCTCTGTCCTCTGCCTTCTCACTTCATCAATTAGGATTGAAATCTTCCAAAATGATGGGTCTGTGAAGGAGGAATAAATAAGGTGACAGAAAGAAATACATTGAATGTTATCTTATACCTGGTAAAGGATGAACAAACTTGATATGCCGTGTTACCCCCGCTAAACGTTCCCACAGTGACTAAATCCAGGCCTCTGAGTTTCAAGAAGACAAGCCCTGCTTGACTCACTTTCTCCCTGGGAGCTGGGAGACAAATCTTGCAAGACTGGTTGAGCTCTGAAACTCCCTGATGAGATCACAAGTTCAGATTCCAATAAATATAACTGTTTTCAAGTGCTTCTATCTGCAGAAGACTCATGGATTTCTGCAGAAATATAGCTCTGGGGACTAGCTGAGAGCACAGAGTG